CCCTAAACCCTCAACCCTCAATCCGGTCCTGGATGATAGCATCAGCAACATCCTTTGAAAGCCCGAAGTCTTTGTTGACCTCTATGGACGTTTCTTCGGCTTCCTTTAAGGCTTTGGGTTTAGGGTTTAGGGTTTAGGGTTTAGGGTTTAGGGTTTGGGGTTTGGGGTTTGGGGTTTGGGGTTTGGGGTTTTAAGGGTTTGATGTAGGGGCCTGAATACTTAGAATAGGGTTTTGGGCTGATTACGTTTCCTTTAGGGGTTGAATGTAAGGGCCTGTAAGGGGCCTTCGTAACTAACTTGAATAGGGCGTCGGGCTCCTTTATTGTCTAATTATCATAAGGAACCCAAAGGAAACAGGATGAGTAGTTATTTATGCTCCTATAGTCTAGGGTTTCTTACACCCTAAACCCTAAACCCCTAAACCCCTAAAACCCCAAAACCCTAAACCCTAAAACCCCAAAACCCCAAAACCAGAAAACCCTAAAGCCCTATACCCTAAACCCCAAAACCCTAAAGTATGGGCTTCCTTAAGGAGGGCTTCGGGTCTCTATGTGCGGAGGCCTTTTGGGTTCGAAGATCTGAGGTGGCTTGGGGCTTAGGCTTTCGGGTGCAGGGCTTAAGGTTCAGGGTGCTGGGTTTCGGATTAGGGTTTAGGGCTTATAGGGTTCAGGGTGCTGGGTTTCGGATAGGAGTTTAGGGTTTAGTGCAGGGCTCAAGTTGAAGGGTGCTGGGTTTAGGGTTAGGGTTTAGGTTTCTAGGGTTTTGGGTTTAGTGCAGGGCTTAACGTGAAGGTTGCTGGGTTTAGGGTTGCAAGGTTCAGGCAGATGTAAGGTTCGAGCGTTGCGATGTGTACCGTTTTGCGGTTCGAGCACGGAAGCCCCAACTAGGGATGACTCGACGTGACGGTGTCGTCAAAAACAGAACCGAGCGCTTACGGGTCTAGGGCTTAGGGTTTAGGGGTTAGGGTTTATGAAGGGTTCAGGGTTGCGTATTTAGGTAAGGGATGTGAAATGGAATTAAGAAAAATTGCAAAAGCCTTGCTATGGGGGGCCTAAATAATTACCATCAATAGTGTTTCGGGGGGCGGGGGTTCCTTGTTATAGTTATAGTATAATCCCCCAAAGCCCTATTCTAATTCTTAATGCCCCTACACTAGACCAGTTCTACCCATAGGCTCCATCATAGTTCCTTTTTAGGATGACCTCAAAGGATCCTAAATCTAGACCCCCAACAGGAACTACAATGAAGCCTGTAAAGTGTTAAACCCTAAACCCGAAACCCTAAACCCCTAAACCCTAAACCCCTAAACCCTAAACCCCTAAACCCCAAACCCCAAACCCTAAACCCTAAACCCTGAACCCTAAACCCTTAGACCCGGGACCTCTGCGGCTGCCTGCTTGAGGGCAGCCATTGCCTCGATCACTTGCGGAGGCATCCTCCGGAAGTTTAGGGTGTAGGGGGTTAGGGTTTAGGGGTTTAAGGTTTAGGGTTTGGGGGTTTAGGGTTTAGGGTTTTGGGGTTTAGGGGTTTAGGGTTTAGGGTTTTAGGGTTTTAGGGTTTAGGGAGGAAATCCCACACCGGTTCAGCGAGGACGAAGGCTTTTCAAGTGTGTGCTACTTCGGTTCAGAAGGCTGGATAAGTTGAACAGGATATTGCGATGTTATAGTACAGTGATCAATCCGAAAGACCCTACGTGAACTCTAGCCCCTAAGCATCCCTAATCTCGACTCTCCTAAATCAATCCCCAGACCACTTCTCCCTCCCCCCAAACAAAAACAAGCACTACGGTTGATGGACAAAATCCTGCATGACCCTATGTACCTAAACTATGGGATTTATGGTACTATACTATATTTGGGTCATGCAGAATTTTGTCCATCAACCGTAGGAAACCCTACACCCTAAACCCTAAACTGCCCTAAAGCTGTCCTCTCGCGATCTCCACCGATTTCAAAGTTCTGGAGTGATCGCTGAGTTTGGGCACCCCAATATTTCTCTGCAGGCACATCGATGTCGCCAAAGGTGTCTTTCTCTCGTCTCACCTCCACTTCAACCCTATACTATACCCTAAACCCTACACCCTAAACCCTACAGCCTAAACCCTAAACCTTAAACCCTAAACCCTAAACCCTACACCCTAAATCCTAAACCCTAAACCCTAAAAAGG